ACTAGCTGCGTTTACCTCGTCAACGAGAACCTGAGTCATTTAAACTCAAAGAAGAAGCTCTATCTGAAATAAAAAAGAAGACAGTGAATATCTTTCACGATTCACGAATTCACGATCTTGTTGCTCCAGTTCATTAACGAGATTATTGCTTGCTCCTTGTGCTAACCATCGTTCAATAGTAAATATTCGACTGACCCAATATTTTCGTTTTCTTCTATTAATAGGTTTGTTCTCACTTTTTCTTAATATAGAATAAAGCTCATATGTTTTAATAATTTTATGATATATTTCCTGCTTGATGAAAGCATTGTGGTTGTGGTCTAAACGTTTTGTTAATAACAGCAAAAGCAATATTGTTTTTTATTTCATTCTACACTTGTTAAACCATTGCGAATTTTTTAATTTAATAAATAATAATAAGACTCTGTAAGTGTATAAAACAAAATAGAATAATTGAAGGGCTAAGAGCCAGTTATGTAATAAAGAACATTTAATAAAGATATTATAATTAAAATAATCATGATTATAACGCTCCATTTCGACCGCGTATATAAAAATAATAAATAATAAAAGACTCTGTAAATATAAAATAAAATGTTATAATCATGATTATTTTAATTATCTTTATGTTTTAAATGAAACGTTCTTTATTACATAACTGGCTCTTAGCCCTTCAATTGTTCTATTTTTAAAAAAATTTAATTATATTAAATAAATTAATATTTAATATAATATTTACTTACACAATATGGTTATTTACTTTTTACGGCTATCCTCTTTTTTTCTGCGGTCCTACAGTAATTCGTCCGCAGAAGTCAGTTTTGTTCCGCTATTTTCGATACGCGATAATTTCGTTCCTATGGTCCCATGAAGCGGAATTAACGTAAACGGATCGGCGGTTTACCAATCATATAACTGTTTAGATGAAGGCAAATAAAGAAAAATAACAAAACTCGTTTTATAATTGACTATCCGCCTGATCCGCTTACGCGAATTTCGCTCCATGGGACCATAGGAACAAAATTTTCGCGCATCAAAAACAGCGGAACGTCCGCGATTGGTCAGATTTTCGATACGCGCGATCCGCGATACGCGCGATACGCTCCATGGGACTGCATCCTAACAGTTAATCGTAAAATGGTGGAACCAATCAGGAAGGAGAACCAGGATTGACTTCACTCTCTTTATACCCACTCTAATCCTCAATAGAGACACTATGGTTACGTTTACACCGTACATTTAGTCCGCGACCTACAGGATAGGTGTCTTTGTTTGACTTACAGGATAAACAAAGACATCTATCGTGTAGGTCGCGGACTAAACGCACGTAGCCAATAATAAGAGACTGGCATAAGTTCTGTTGGATAGAAAATGGCGTTCACAAGACGATAAGTCATAGGACGCGTTCGCAACTAGGATGGAAAAGCAGAAAAAGTAGAAAAGCAGAAGCCGATCAGAATTCGGATTGTACTGTCATCTTTTACCAGCACGACTTTTGATTGGCTTTTGCCATTCCATATCCAGTCAATCGAAAATTAGCCCATCTATGTCAGTCTCTTAGGCTGTGTTCCAAATTTACTGTCAGCGCTGAAAATGCGACACGTTACGTGCACTATAGATTTTCAGTACAAACAGTCAATTTTGGAACATAGCCTTATTATAGTGTTTCTAATCCTCAAGCATTCTTTATACTGGCTGTAAGTCCAGATCTACAATAGGTGTTTTAAGACTTAAGCCGTAAGAAACTGACCAATTACAGTCGAATCCAAGGGGAATAATCGATTGTGATTCGCTCATTTCCTATGGCTTAAGGCTTAAAACCCTATTGTAGATCCGGGGTAATTTGTTAACTTATGGTACATTTCCACTAAGCACGTCACGCGTCGCGTCGTCCGTCCGCGTCACGAGTTAACCAACCAAAACATTCCATTTTATTGTATCACTTTAAATGGGATGTTTTGATTGGTTAACTCGTGACGCGGACGGACGACGCGATGCGTGACGCGCTCAGTGGAAACGTATCCTTATACCGTAATGTAAGAATTGACCAATCATAGTCGATTATTCTTCTCTCATTCGACTGTAATTGGTCAATTCTTACAAATTACGGAAAAAGTTAACACATTACGGCCTATTATAAATCCTTATATCCAAAGTTGTTCTGGCCAATCTTGCTTTTGTCCAATCTTCTTTTGTCCAATCTTGCTTTGTCTAATCTTTGATCTGTTTTTTATTGCTGCACTTTCTGAATTGGTACACACAGTACAATATATATTTGTTTCACTTCAACTTATTGCACCGGTTCAGAGTGCAGTAATAAAAAACAGACCTCTTGTTTCTGTCCAATCTTTTGCTTTTGTCCAATCTTGCTTTGTCCAATCTCGCGTCTATCTAAACTTCAACCCTCATGTCTTTGGAACGATTTCGCTATAGATAGCATTATTTTAAAATAAACCTTAAAGAATTAAAAAATAAATTTCAACTTTGATGACGTGTACGGAGAAAACAAAATTTTTTTTGCAACTTTCTTCAATTGGATCATAAAATATAACATTTTCTTTTTAAAATGCAATTTTCTTTATCAACGGTGCCGATAATGTGATATGTAGTTCACATCATTTTATAGAAAATGATGTCGCTAATACACGGATAGATTTTTGCTGGTTTTTGCGCGTCATACGATAAAAGCCGGTATGGCCGCTCTCAGGTTTCTCTTGGGTTTGGATCTCTTGTACCTGAATGAGTTGGAAACTTAAAGTTTTTTCACTAGCGCGCTTACACGATTTTTAAACGAGACCTTTTCTGCGAAGACAAGTATATCCGCGATGAATCCCTCAGAGCCAACCGGCACCGAGACTCTCAGGTACAATGAGTTCACATTGGATGACACTGAGATAAGGTTATACGCCAGTTTACTCTTGACAGATCAAACGCTTCAATTTTCTCGACGCTATTCTGACATAATTCTGACACTCTGTTAGGCTTGTTCTTTTTGGCTGAACTTTTGCATCAGTTCATCTTCCTTTTTTCTCCAGGAGGAAAGAAGAGGAAGAAAGATGAACTGGTGCAAAAGTTCAGCCAAAAAGAACAGGTTTATTGTTATTCTGAAATTTTTTTGTATATCGAGCCATTTTTCTTTTGTTTAATATATTTAGACTAGAGGTTGTTCCACCTTTCGGTAAACTTCAGCTCGCTGTCTTGCTCTCTTACTCTCTTATGCTTTTCCTTTTATTCTTTTGTTTATTCAGTAGGTAAATTACCACATAGTTTATTTGAAGATGGAACAATCGATTCTTAATGTATTTTTTTGCACTTTTTTAGTTCTAAGATGAAAGATGTGATCGACGTTCTTGCAATGCAACGCGAGAAAAGGAATACATTACAAAAAAGCATTACAATCGATTATACCAAGTCTAATGATAGCTTTACGGTTTCACGATTTATTTTCGAATGTGGTATGTTGTTATAATAATATTTTATTATTAGAAAGTTGTTTATAAAATATGATTTTTGATAAAATATTTGTTTGATTGTAGGTTTGAAATTGGAGGCTCACTCACTGACAATAGCTACCGCTGCGACGCTATATCATAGATTTATTAAAGATGCGACACCACAAGGATATGATAATTATGTAAAAATGGTTTATAGTATAACTATTTCATAAATTCTGAATAAATTTAATGAATTTCATCTTTTTTTTTTAGCTTTTAGCTGCAACTTGTCTTTATCTGGCTGGCAAAGTAAAGGATGATACGCTAAAAATAAGAGACGTAATGAATGTATCCTATAATACACTTCATAGAGGATCTCAGCCACTCGATCTCGGAGATCAGTATTGGAGTATGAGAGATGCGATTGTTCAAGCTGAACTTTTGATCATGAGAATGCTCAAGTTTCAGGTCACACCTGTACATCCGCATAAAGTATTACAAATATTATTAACTAATGTTAACATGCATGTGTGACAAAGTATGATAACTACATATTTTGTTGTAGTACATGCTTCATTACCTACGATCTCTGCAAGCTTGGTTTGGCGAAGAAGAATGGTCCAAGTATCCTGTCGCTAAGACGAGCATGGCACTACTGCAAGATTTTCATCATTCTCCAGCTATTCTTGACTATCCACCGAATTTAATAGCAATAGCTTGTATTAATTTGTCATTGCAAATTTATGGTGTGGTTGTACCTTTGATGGATGAATGCGATCAACAGCCGTGGTTCAATGTGAGTATTACATATGTCTCTATATCCGTTTATATTAATTAATTAGGTTTATACGTAAATTATTTGTTACAGGTTTTCTGTAAAGATTTAGCGAGGGATAAGTTGTGGGAAATTATGGAAAAAATCATGGCGGCATATGACGAAGAACCTGAAACGAGAGACAACTAATAAGCGCGCGTATCTGT